TGAACCACTGACCTCGCAGTTCAAACTGACCTTGTAGTCCAGTTCATTAACCTACAGTGCTACACCAGGACTCCACAAAATCACATCATAACATACTTTATTAAACAAAAAATATCAAAACTGTTTCTCAATGTACCTTCCATCTCGGTCTATATACTTCCGAAGGTGGTGCACTAGACCATAAGGCCGGTTTGAATCACGTGGTCGGCAGTTCAAACCCACCAGCCACGCCTTGGAAATGCTAGACATAGTCACTGTGAGTCGGAACCAACTTGAGGAAACTTAACAAAAACAATAATCCTTTCCCAAAGAAATCAGCTTTTTGATTTACACCACCTCAAAATGGAAGTTTTGTCATCCTTGAGGTGACTCAAATCATGTTCCTTTTGGATGTTCTTCGAGTTTTGTAATCCTCAAAGGACCCAAATCATGTTCCTTTGAAATATTTTTTAGTTTCGGGGGGAAAAAATTTAAAGGGGCAAAATGAAGGCTGTAGCATGAATGGGTAAGGTTGCCCAATAGCATTCTGGTAGGACAGCCCTTGTACCCTCAAAAAATGAGCGGGTACGTTGTCTGGATGGAAAAAAATTCCTAAGCACAACATCCCTGGCCTTTTTCACACCAATGTAGTTTTCAATTTTCTTAAAACTTCTTCGAAATAAGCACCGTGATGATCCTCTGTCCTTGAGAAAATCTATCAAGATGGCTCCTCTGAAATCCAGGCCTCTGAGCAGACCTCTCCCCTTGAGTCTGATTCATCAGATCTCCCCTGTGAATGACTGTTTGGTCTGTGCCTTTTTTAAGAAGGTACCCTAATGAGCCTAAGACAAGTGTATTATTAAGATAACTTATCTGCAGCCATCCACTCATCTCAGAGATATGTTTAAAACATATTTTGTTTAAAATAAACTTGTATATGTATGAATTGGAACTATAGAAGTATTACTTTTTGATTTAGAGCAATAATTCACAGATGAGGGGACGAGTTCTCAAGCAAGTTTTCCTAGATGGTGTTTTCTATCTCAGTACTTTGTTTCCTTCAAACAATTACCATAATTTAGAATTTATTAATCTGGTTTTGTTCCTTCCTTTCCTTGAGAATAGAAAGCAAATTGGCTTTATTAGCCACTGTAGCCCTAGTACTTAGTATATGATATTGTTGTCATTAAGGCTGTCGAGTCAGTTCCAACTTATAGTGACCCTGTGTAGGGTTTCTAAGGAGCAGCTGTTAGGTTTAAACTGCCAACCTTGTGGTTAGCAGTCCAATGTTTACCCTACAGCACCACACCAGGATTCCATAATAATAATGCTTGGCAAGCAAGTAGTAAGTGCTTGATGCGTAAATAATACCCACCGCCCTTGAATGATCTTTGTTCAGGAGGGAATACTTAACTTAACATGATCCCACAAAGATCTACAACTTTGGAAACCCTATACAGGTTCGCTATGAGATAGAACCAACTAGACAGCACTTAATGTGTTAAGCAAATGATACTATTTTCAATGTCAGTGTGTCATGCAAATCAAGACCATGTAAGAATGTGATTAATTTATGATTTGATTCCCCTTTTAAAACATGCTTCAAAAATACATCAGATACAAGAGTCTGAAAGAGGGTCTTGATATATAAGTATTTATCATTCCTGCAATACCACTGTGAATGTGGTGGAGCATACAACAGGCAAAATGATGAAAACTTCTTAGATATTATCAAACATCTTAAGGCAATGAGTAGCTGAACCTGAAGGCTCAGGACCATAGACTCAGGGAACACCATGGTCAACTGGTATAACACAGTCCAAAAAAACAATGTTCTACATCCTCCTTTAATGAGTAGTGACTGGGATCTTAAAAGCTCATGTGTGGCTATACAAGGTGTAGCTATTGGTCTCTCCATGTACAGAAGAAAGAGTGATTGGAACTGAAGATGCTTGGAATCAATTAGTCCAACAGACTAATGGAACATTTGACCATCAGTCTTTACAACTCTGAGACCAGAAGAACTAGATGGTGCCCAGCTAGCACTACCAGCTGCATTGAAAGGAATCACCTAAGAAGATCCCAGATAGAGCAGCAGAATGTATAGAAAAAAACTCAAATTGTTAAAACAAAACAAAACAAAAAAACAGGGCTTACTGGTCAGAAAGAGACTGGAGGAACCAGAGTCTATGGCTCACCAGCCATTCCTTGGAAACTCTCTACAGGGTTGAAATGAATTGTAACCAACTTGAGAGCACTTAACAATAACAATCCACAATAGTGGTGCTGTAATATAAACACTGATAACCACAAGGACCTTAGGTTCAGACCCACCAGCTGTTCCAATGGATAAACAGGAGGCTTTCTGCCCCTATGAAGATTTCTAGTTCCAGAAACCCAATAACAGGGTCATGATGAGTCAGATGGCAGCAAATTTGGTTTGGGTTTAATCAAAGATAGAGTTCCTTAGTCTGCTCAGGAACGTTCCAATAGATGGTAATGCTAAAACTTGGGATCCCTATAGTATTTTACCCTAACTCAAAGCAGGGACCCAGGAGATTTGAAGAGTTAGGAAGTCAAGGAAGCAGACTAGATCTCTGGCATGAGAACCAACAGCAGACAGAGAATTGTGGCAGCAGACCAAGTTGTAACCTGTGGGACCCCCATAACCACGGATTCCCTGGGTAGCAACCATTTGGAATGTACAAGTTGCCATCCATAAAACCTCACACTTAAAGTTTGACTCTTGACCTATCTTGCCTCCCCGAATGCATACTTAGTTTTCTTTAACATTATGAGTATAATATTCTATATTTGTTCTAGGCAAATTTTTGACATTCTCAAGCAAAAATCTCAAATGTTTTCAACATTTCTATTTTGGAGCAGAGAAATTTAAGTTTTCACTGAACGAGAATGAAAAACATTACCCCTAACAGAAAGTCAAAGAAAAACATTTTGAATTCCAATATCAGGGGAATTAACATATATCTACTCTTGTCCAAGACTCACTATTTATAGTGGGAATGGAGCAACAGTTAAATTCTGCTGGTTGTGGCTAATGAAATCTGGCCACACATACTTACAGGAAAAAATATGTAAAATCATCAAATTACACTGACATTACTCCAAAAGAGCAATTCACTGTATATTTCTGAAATTTATTTCAGGTGACAGGGCACCCACAGATTAACGAAAAAAAGCATGGGTGCCAAAGCCTAGTTTCACTTCCTAGCAAAGGTGAGAGAAACTTTAGCTAACAGTTTTAATCTATATTAATTTCTCTATGGAATCCTGGTATGGTGCCATGGGAAGAGCACTGAACTGCTAACCACAAGGTCAACAGTTCAAACCCACCAGCTGCTCACTGTGCATTGAAACCAACTCGACTGCATTTATCAACAAATTGCAGTCTTTAGGAGGCCTGGCAGTGTAGTGGTTATGAGTTGGGCTGCTAACCGCAGTCAGTAAGTAGTTCAAATCGTCCTGCCGCTCTGAAGGAGAAAGAAGAAGTTTCCTGCTCTCATCAAAGGGTTACTATGAGTCAGAACCAACTCAATGGAACACAATCACCATCACCACCATGCAGTCTACAGCCCTCCACCCCAAAACTTGACAGCCAGTTTTAACCACAGGACAAAAAATAATTTTCATATGAAGATGCAAAATGCCTCAGATGAATATACCCAACACAGAAAGTGTAAACAGATTAAGTAATATAAGTAGGGTTTGTAAATGATAAAGTTCTATATAGTTGAAGAAGGGTAAGAGAGGGTGTAAAAGGAAGTGAATGGATTAATATGCAGGAAAAAACAAAAACAGAAAAGGGTTTAAATTTACCTTGAAAATTATCCACTATTCTATTTGTCCAGTCTCAGTAAGAATCTGTGCCAAGCAATTTCATTCACTGCATAGTGTCTAACACATTGCTGACTGCGAGGCAAATATTAAATAAATATATGTTGGTGGATCAAAATGCACATGGCTGTGCTGTCTACACACAGGAAACAGAAACTGGAGGTGGTGAGTTAAATTAGAAAGCAATGCAAGGTTTGGTTCTGCATGCCAGTAACATTTGCAAGTTACAACGGAGAAACAAATGAGGCTCAAATTTTGTCACAACCATAGCTCAACTTGTTGTTCATCATTGAGCAAGAAAACTTTATTTGCAAAAGAAAAGTATAATTAGGTTAAATATTTTAAATTAAATATAAGGAGTATGATTTTAAGGACCAGTAGTTGTGTTGCTTAATATATATGCTTTTCATTGTTAAAAAAATAATTGAAATGGTTGCTTCCTCAGGTTGTTTACATTTAAATAGTAATATACCACTTGAAGCTTTTAACACAAAAGCACCTATTTGCTAGCCTGAAGCTAGACTTGAACTTTTAGTGTGGCCATAAGCTTTTAAATTAACCACTCTACACACTGTCTGTAACTCAAGATACAAATTGTTAGCTTATGGAAATAAAGAAAATGTGCATATTCCTACACCTCTATGATGCAAGAATTAAAGATGATACAATGAGAATTTGGAATTCAGCAATTATAATTAGACTGACTTAAAAGCATTTTAAGTTAAACTAAAAAAGCTCTAAGGGTCTTTCTTGTAGAAAAAAAATCACACATTTAAAAATAATATCTAATAGAAGATGTATTAAAATCACAATGGATCATAGCTGTCAACTTCAAATAGTGGCTTTCTCCCTAAGAGCTTAAGTTTACACACTGGTGCAACACCACAAATGCAGATGCTACAAAGAAAACCAAATCTTATTCACAACACTTTGCATAAAAACTTTTCTTTCTGCAGGCTTGTGTGGAGTTGAAATTAAAGGATGCTAATATGCACATTATGCAGCACATTTTAAAAAAGCAAAAGTAGTTTCCTCGAAAATGAATTTTATCAGCTGAAAATCTGGGGAAATTCACATCCACTGTGCTCCAAATGTACCCAAGTGACAGCAAAATACTTTATGAAATGGGAAAAAAATTAAATATTATTTAATCAATAGCTGATTACCTTCAAAACTTTGGGCTTCTTTTCCCTCGGGGGCCTCTTGTTTTCCTTTATGACCTAAAAAAGATCAAATTGCAAAATGAGCCTCCGTATGAAGGAAAAAAAAAATTCATTCCCACCTCCCCCTAAAATTTTGGCTACTTCACTGTAAAAGTACTTATACCATTCAAAATCATCAACATGTTTGCTAGGCAGAACCTAAAGAGCTTATGTAAAATGTATACTTCAACAGTCACTGAAAAAAAGCCTTGCAGAAAGATGAAGCAGGGAGGTACCCTTTTTTCCCCTGAAAGTCTGTCTTAATTAGCCTCTGCATTCTTCACAGCGAAGCCCACGAGGTAGCCATCTTGCCTGTTCCTGCAGAGGAAGCCTCTACAGTGCAACAGCTCTGCAAACTGCTTTTTGGTATTATTATCATGGTGTTTAAAGGCAGCCCTGGCCTGCCAGCACTGTAGACGTGCTGGGCATGCCTTTTGCAAAAACAGCCCCACAAAGAGTACAGCCAATAGCAATGCAGAGCTTAGCAACTCCAAAATGATCTCTGCCTAGCCCTTCCTAGACAAAGGATCTCCTGTGAGACTCCACTCTCACCACAGGACACAGGCAACCCCAAGCTGCGACATGGAGTTCGCTGCAGAGGATCTGGTCGCGCCGAAATCACGGGAGGCTTCAGCAAAAACAATGCACACAAATCCCCTAGGTCTCAACAATCGGATCGATGGTGGGAGTCTCCAGATTAGTAACCTCTTGGAGACTCTGAGGGCAGATCTGTGCTGGGGGAGGGGTGCACTGCTGTGAGTCCAAAGTACAGGAGATATAACCCAGCCAAGGGGGGCATTTGGGCTTTCTTAAACTCTGGAAGGTATTGTGCATTTTTACTTTATAAGGCAAGGCTAAATATTGGCGATATTTAAGGCAGGGAGGTTATGTGAGGACAATGTAGGCTCAGCTGTTGGGCTGTGTCTCATTCCTCGGGAACCACACCTCTTTGCAGCAGGCGCTTTGCCCAGGAATACAGCAATTTGATTTCTGTCAATAAATGTCCAATGACAAAAGCAGATCAAGTAATAATAATAATAATAATAATAATCAAGCCACTTAAAAGGATAAGGACAGGACAAGGACAAGGAATAGAGAAGGAGTTTTCAAAAAGCACATAGGTCACTCTGAGTATCTGGACATAACCGATTTCTCTGACTAGGCATTTTTAATGAGCATCAGCCCCCAAATCCCTGCCCTACAAAAAGGCAGACCTTTGGGGCTAAAAGAGGATCTTTGGCTCTTCTCTCTCCCAAGATCATCAACTGTCACTGAGCATCTCTCTGCAGAGCTGCCAAGTAACTCCCCACGAGGAGCAGTCTGGAACAGGCTGGTGGTCAGACAGAGCCAGGACCCCACACACCTGGACTGCCCCAACACTCAGTGTGGTAAGCACCTTGGTTGGCACTTTCCAGCCAGTAGGAAAAGCAGAGCCAAAGTAGTCTCCCTCCCACTGGCCCCCTGGCATTGCAACAGCAGCAGTTGAGGGCAGACAGGAGCAGCTGCAGTGAGCCCGCTGATCTCAAGGTCAATGCCAAAATGCAATACAGACACTGGTCACAGTCCCATCAGAGCCACCTTGACAGCTGCATAGGTCTAGGCAAGACAGCTCCCAGGGCCAAACTTGCAGGAGCACATTTGATGGATTGGCAGGAGGGCTTTCCTGGCTATTCAGCCAAAGATGGGTTTTTCACTTGCAGTTGGATTCTGAACAGATTCCCACAACCAGGAACTGGGAACACAGTGAGGGCCAGAAAGCCTAGATTTCATCACCCCTGATTCCTAGCCTCTCGGTTTCCCACAAAAGCATGCTTTCCTTATTGGAACTGGAAGTCAAACATGCATTATTTTCTCACTCTTAAACACCCTCTCCCTTACCCACGCACCACCCCCACCCCCACCACCAAATTTTAAAGAAAGTCAGACAAGAAAAAAAAAAAAATCTGTTGGGTGTGGTACTTTAAAGTCTTCCTAAAACACTTGTAGTGAAACCAGTGGATTCTGATCTAACCACATTCACCAACGCAACTTCAAACACTTGCCCACAACTTCTCAAAGGAGCAAAACAGGGCTTTCTGTGAGGAATGAAACAGTCATAAAACAGGTAGAAAACCAGGATTAAATACAAGCTTTGGAAAGGAATGCAAAGTCAGTCTTTAGGAGCTTAAAAGTGCTTTGCATTTCAATTACTTATTACCCCTTTTCCAAACTTGAACATAATTTTTAAAAGGCAGATTGATTGCTCAATATTTTTTCCAGATTGATTGCTCAATATTTAATGAAATGGTCATGAATACATTATGACATAACATAATATCAATTAATCCACTACCTGTGTGATTCATGATTGGCTCAGTAAAATAAAATAAAGTGGTGAGAAGTGCATTTTTCAAAGCCAGTGAACCGTAGTTTCACTGCAACGGGATATGCATAAAGCCATATAACAAGACATTTGGCTACCAAAGCAAACACTGAAGGTCTGTGTGCACTGTTCTGTAAAATTACTTAATGAATGCAGCCTGAGATCATCCCAACTAGATATAAGAGTTAATGAAAGTGACCATAGCTAACATTGGAATCCTGGTGTGGCACTGTGGGCTAATGCACACAACTAATGCAACTAATGCAACTGCAATGTTGGTTTGAACTGCAAGCTCACCAGCCACTCCTTGGAAACCCTATACAAGGTTGCTGACTCAATTGCACTTAACAACAACAACAACATAGCTAACAGTACCTCTAAGTATCCAACTACTGTAATACCATGAAGATCTCTACTTATTTGAACACAAATTCACAAGCTTGTAACCAATATTGTTGGGGCCAGTCTCCTGGTGTGGCACTGTAAGATGAGCACTGGACTGTTAATCATAAGGTCAGTGGTTCAAACCCACCAGCTGCTTCTCGGAACCCTATAAAGGGTTACTCTGGTAGCGTAGTGGTTATGAATCGGGCTGCAAATCACAAGGTCAGTAGTTTGAAACTACCAGCTGTTCCGCGGGAGAAAGATGAGGCTTTCTGCTCCCGTAAAGATTTACAGCCTCGGAAACCCTGTAGGGGTCGCTATGAATTGGAACTGACTCCACGGCACATAACAACAACGACTTGACAACAACAACTGACTATGGCCATCAATTCCAAAGGAGCTCTGGTAACGTAGTGTTTACGAATCAGGCTGCGAGTTGCAAGGTCAACAGTTCGAAACTACCGGCTGTTCCACGGGAGAAAGATGAGGCTTTCTGCTCCCATAAAGATTTACAGCCTTGGAAACCCTGTACAGGGTCTCTATGAACCGACTCCACGACACATAACAACAACAAATAAATTCCAAATCCTATACTTAGAGATTTGATACTCTTAAAGACTTAGGTGGCAACAAGTTTTGATGGGAAGGATAATAAATTACTAGCAGAGGAACTGGACTCAGCAGAGCCACTGACGTTCTTTCATTATTTAGGATGAAGTGCATTCAATTAGATCCTGTTAAACGACAGACAAATCCGAAAGTTATACAGAACTTGTCTTTGTCACTTAAATCTATTTGTTTTTCCCACAAGGACTCATGACTATTAAATTACAAAAGCTGATTTTTTATTTTGCAATAACAAGCATAGTAAGGTCTATTATATATTACAAAATGAAATCTATCTTTAAAAAAATCATAGGATCACAGAACTAAAAATTGAGGGGAAATGAAGACTAATGACTCTGAGTCCTGATGTGGCCTTGTAGGATAAGCACTGTATTTTAAACCCACCATCCTCTCCTTGGAAACCCTATACAGAGTTGCTATGAATCAGAAAAGGCACTTAACAACAACAACTTTATCTCCTAGATAAACTTAGACTCAAAGATGTAAAATTACTTGACTTATAACTTGATTTGAGCTCCATTTTAACCATCTACACAACCCTATCCACAACTTTTATTTATTCAACACCCAACAACATACATATGTAAATGCCCCAAAACATACACTTCAATAAAAATTGAAGATAATCGGAATCCATTAGTCCACTGGGCTAATGAAATAGGTGAACATGAGTCTCCATGACTCTGACACCAGAAGAACAAGGGTGGTGCCCGACTACTACCACCAATTGTACCGAAAGGGATCAATCACATTAGAAGGTCCTTGAATGGAGTGGGAGACAATGAGGGAAAAAATTTAAAATTATAAAAAAGATCAGAAAGACTAGTACAATCTAAGACTACGGTCCTGGGTCACCTTTCAGATCTAGAACTGAACACAACCTGGTGGCCCAATTTTCAACCAGAGAGTGGACAGGTATATAGGGTGGACAACAACATTAGTAAGATGCGCTCACCATGGACTGGCCAACCACTCAAGATCAAAAGGGCAACATTTACCTAAAGACAAAGTTGAGAAGGATGGGAAGGACAGCTGTATGGAAATAGGAGCCACAGGGAGGAGGTGGAATAACTGTTGTTGTGTGGAAGGGATTAGTCATTGAGATGAAACAAAGTGTATCTCACTTTGACTGTACAATTAATGGTCTTGTCTGTAAACCGTTACTCAATTCACAATAAAAAAAAAAATGTTTTTAAACTTCATATTCACAATAGATTAGAAATTCAAATTTCTAAATTGCTATTTTAAATCATTGGTTTATTAGGCATGCTTTTAAAAAACTGTCCCCTCATAGCTAAATTTATGAATAATATCACATTTTTATTTCTCTTCGAAATACAAGCAATTGTGCCTCACAAGACACTAGATTTACAAACACTGCCTAAATGATGACAACAGTGGACGCAGCATGCTAGGAGGAGTCTTCTACCAAATTCAACTCAAGATTGACACCTGTGAAGCAAAACATCCTTCCAATATTTGTGACACACTCTTCTCCCATAAAATTGGTGTATATATTCCTTGCATGTTTGGGGACAGGGGAGGCTACAGCTTTTCAGCTTTTGCAGTGGTTTCTGGGTAAAGATATTCCTTGTAAACTACTAATATAAAATAGAGAAGACGAATACTTGTCACTATTCTAATT